TCCGACTCATAGCGACCCTGGACTGAAGAGGGTTTGAAGTGCTTTGATGGTGGTGGTGGTTATGTGCTATGGAGTCGGTTACGACTCATAGTGACCCTGTATAAGGTTTCCAAGGCTGTAAATCTTGAAGGGAGCAGAAAGCCTCATCTTTTCTCTCGCTTGAACTGCATTAGGCCTTTCTAAAATGTTATTTATAAAATCAAACTTTATCGATTTTTCTAAATTTAAGTAAAATAGCTATGTCATTTAACTGCTCAATTTTATCATAATAGGAATTTGAACTCATAATGAATCATATCACAAAATGAATATGATAATTCTGCATGTTATTCATTTTCATTATAATATCTATGATGCTTATTCAACTTCATGTTTTAAAATATCTCAGCACTTTAAAGATTACTCTTGAGAATACTTATTGTTGTTCTTTATAGCACATATACTTGTATAGACATATAAACATACATCTCTGCATACACTTATTTATGTATTTCATGTATACATATACACAATTTCTGCTTCTGTGAGACCAGTCACATATGAGCTAAATATTTATACAACATACCAACAATGCTGAAAATAATCACAAAACTGAAAGCTTGCCTTTTCTAACAGGAATACCTGTTCACAATTGCATATTGTACTATTAAGAAAATTATTTGGAGACTAAAGAGTTGCTTCTTAAAAACCAAATCTATTCTCTCTCTATATTAATGAAAGTGAAATACTTGGTACTAATTAAATTCCTAAGTTACCTTTTTTTTAGTTTTGCGTTTTTCCCCTTGAGATGTCAGTTTCCTCATACTGAAAAAAATAAAAAGCTGGGCAGATAAGATATATCAAGAGTTCTTGCACATAAAAATAGGTCTGTTTCTAAAACTGGCATTGAAAATTATCCTCCTGGAGACAGCAGTTTACCAAGATTTGAGCCAAAGGGTCAGACAGATGTAGAGGAACTTTTGGATTACCCTTCTTTGTATCCTGTATCTTAAACATCTATGTGCAGTGAATAGGAACAGGTGGTAGTATCCCCACTTAACATACGGATAAACTGTGGCACACAGAATGCATGTCTTATCAGGACCAGGCTGAAATTAACCTCCACTTTCTTGACAGTTGGTCTGGAAACAGTGACAGAGTACCATTAGTAACTTCATATATACATTTAAAATTTTAAGTCGTTATTTTAAATGTATAATTATGTTAACATTAAGGAAATCTATAATAAATATTAAACTGTTATAGAAATGCATATTTCTCTATTATTTTTAGAATAGTCGTATTCCTCTCTTCTTTTTATGCTTTTGCAAAAAAAGTAATAGTAAAGAGGATTAGTGGATAATTATGTTGCTATGATTGTAGCACCTGTGTGTTATTTTTTCCGACTGGCTAGTTCTGTGTTAAAGATTTCTACCAGGTAAAAGTCTCCCGCATCAAATGATTTTTATTAGCTAGTTGGGCTTTTTTTCTTGTTGCTGCTTTTAACCTGTACATTGTTTTAAATTTACAACAAAAACCTTCTTAATTCAATTTATACCTGTACATTAAAGTTTTGTTCTGAATTTTTTTTTTGTCAGTTTACCTTTACTTCTTTATCATCTCACACTTTTCAGTTTCTTTAAATTTCAATGCCAATGGCAACACACACTCACAGTAGGAGTACAGCTTGAGTTGCCCTGTTGTTGCTAGCCATCAAGTTTGTGTATGCCACTCAATTTGTTGGTACTAATAACTCTTCCCTAGAGAGCTGCCTTTTAAGGAATAAGAGCCTAACCTATTATAAGGAGATATAGGAATTAACTGCTCTGGATTATGGTTACAATTGCAGATGCTAACAGCACTGTTTGGAACTTTATCATTATCTCAATCACAAAAAGCTCCTTGTTTATGGACCCAGGACTGTGTTTTTAAGTATTTGGAGTTCATTATGTCCTCTTATTATATGTTTTCTATCTTAAAAAGAGAAAAAGATGTATATAATGTAAATTGTGTTGCTGTACATTTATTTGGCTACAGTCAAAGAATAGTTAGCTTTTAGAAGGTTGAATTGCCTAAAACAGTAATTATTTACTAAGGTAGCAGTATTTTCTCCAGCTAACGTCCACAAAAAGGAAACTTCAGACATTAGCCCTCCATAGTATATGAGCACTGCATTTTTTAAATGTAAACTTTACTATTAACTGATTTTCTTTAATTCTGTCACCTATACTTGAACTTTTTAAATATTAGTTTAGAAAGCATGGTTTCCATTATTGAAGGTTTGTTATCATCTTATTACATAATTAAGCATTTTTATATTAAATGAATGCAGTATCTGGGAAGTAACCTCATTTGCATAATTTGTTTCATTTACCTGTGATTTGAGATTTCTTAAGAGTTTTCCTGTTAAACCTCCTTCTTTTAGATAATAAAATAGAATCACTCTCCAAAATGTATATAATCTGGATATTCATGTTGTTGGTTTGATAAATTTTTATTTATAGGAATATCCTCTCTGCTTTAGAAATATTAACATTTGCTTTCTTTCTGCCTAATTTTTGTGTAAATTCTAAGTTTAATAAGATAAAGTAAAATATTGCATTTATAGACTCTCTGAAAGTAGAGCATTTTAGAAGCAGGTAGGTGTCTCCACCCTACTTTTCATGAAGCATTTTACCCATTCAAGCAGACTTTTAAAAACAGCTTGTTTTGATAGCAGACTGTTCTCCTGTGGGCCTTCAGCCTTTGCTTCCTGGCAGCACCTTTGGTGCGAAAAGAGAGTGATCAATTGGGAGACTATCAGTGCCAGCATGCATAGAGTGATAAGTTAACACACCACTGGGAATTTCTAGGGCCCACCAAGATACTTCACTTCTAATGTGCTAACAAGCTCATTTTTCTACCTCTTGCCTCTTCAGTTATTTTTTTTCTCAGAAGAGCTTAGAAGTTGAGTGCATCAGGCATAATGAAAAGCTCTGTAGGAGGGAGAAGCAATAACCCCATTTTTCCCTTTTCAGCCAAATAGAAAATTAGTTTCTGGTAATACACAAAGGCCAGTATTTTTTGTACAAGGGGCACTGCTGTGAATCAAAGGACTCTATTAACTGCAGAAAATTCGGCAGCTGTGAATCTCCCCCAATGAAAAAAGTACTTTCCAACAAGTTGTGAGATATGTGGTATTATTTAGATTGAACCTTCAGTTTCATCCTCTTCCATTTATCACCATATACCTTCTTTAAGAGTGTCCTGTTACTTTTCTATGTTAAGACTCAAAAATATCTGTCATCCTTCCATAAGATCCTTATTGTTGATCATTTTAGCATCTTGTCCTATTGCCATCCATTTCAGAAGTAATATTGTTTTGAAGTTCAGTCCCATTGACAAGAATTTGAAAATAATGAATTGCAAAAAAAAAGTGTTTTTTAAATTATAAACTCTTGTTAAATCAGATGCATAACAAGTTATAGTCTAACATTTAAATTTTATTTTGTCTTCTTAATCAGTAATCTTTGTAAAATGTAAACAGACTTATGGTATCTTCCTTTGAATGACCAGTTATTTTAAAAATAATTTTTCTCCCTCTAAAATTGTTTTTATTGGTCTTGGCTGTAGAGTTGGTCTGTTGTTGTTAAGTACCATTGAGTCCGTTCTAAATCATAGTAACCCTGTATAGGATTTCCAAGGAGCAACTTGTGGATTTGAACCACCAACCTTGCAGTTAGCAATGCAGTGCTTATCTTGCAGCATCACACTAGGACTCCAAGTTGGTCTACATTTCCTAGAATTGCATAGCTAAAATAAATGAACTGTAATTTTTTTTCTCCTCAAAATGAGAATAAGGAATTTTGAGGGAAAATTCTAAACTAAGTTTGGAAAAAATTCAATGAAAAAAGAACTAAAAGGAAAAATTTTAATTATCCTTCATACTTATTTAAATGTCTTATGCAAAGCCCTTCAGTATAGCACAGAGTCCAGCAGGAAAACTTTTAAAAGTTGTAGAAGAAAGGTTAACTGATTTCTCAGTTCAGGAACTATATGACATGAAGTCAGCATGTGAGTTTTTCCTGATAATTGTATGTTGCTGCCTGCTGCTCTACATTTTGACAGCCATTTCCATAGTTGCTTTCGTGAACAAGAGAAATATTCTCTCTCTTTCTCGCCCTCTCTGTGCTAACAGCACAATCAGGCCTGCTGAAACAGGAAGCCTGGAGTGGGTTGTTCAAAAGCAACAACACTTCAAGGTACTGGTTGCTTGTCAATAATATCAGAGGAGAAAATGTGGTGAAAGAGAAGTACAGTATTTTTCTGTCAGTGTCAGTGCCCTGTAGATGCTTTGTTAGCCAGTATTTCGGAGTCCTGTGGACTCTTTGCAAATATTCCTGCTTGTTTCAGTGTTATAATTGACTCGGCATTTTTGCCTGACATACAGATTCAGTTATGTATTTATCTTAACCGCATGGAGTTATTCAAGGATTACCGCAACAGTAGTCTTCCATTCAAAATGAGAACAATTGTTGTGAAAATGCAGGGTTTTTAGAAAGAGAAGATATGCAGGAATTTTCCACAATAGATCTTTACAAATAAAAATGATGTCGAATTTGGACACAGTATCTTAAACATTATCATAATATTTATTGTATGGCTTTTGAGAGTAAATCTACAAATCAAAATTGATAAACAAAATGAGCCTAGACTGACCTGATAGCAGTTGAATCATTTCTCAAGTAAACTATTGTCTTTCTTTCTGACAACAATTTAGAAGTATTATCATTATTTTTAAATAAATATCTCTCTATTAATCTGTCATTTATAGCAGTATGCTTAAGAGTAAATTCATGTTAAATACTATACAATAATTTTACTCTTTAAGAAGCCATACTTTGAATGATACGCAGGAACAGTTTAATATTTAAATTTTTTAAGAGGTAATGGTTTAGCATTACTAGTAGTAGTACTTATTGATAAGATCTATTTTCCAATGTGATTTACATTTAAATTCATCCTTAACTAAAGAAAATCAGCTATGAGGAGAGAGCACGGTATCTGCAAACAATTGTTCAGCATCATTTAGAACCAACCACATTTGAAGATTTTGCAGCACAGGTTTTTTCTCCAGCTCCCTACCATCATTTACCATCAGATGCTGGTAAGATGAAAAGCAAGTATTAACTACTTGTAGTTATTGAAACTTTAAATGCAATACCCTTTTGTTCTAAAAACTCATAAAATATTAGAAAATTTGATAAAAAATTCCATCATTGAAATAAAAAGATTATTCCTCATTGTTTGGTATTTGAATTTGGCCTGTAAATTTGATTTGTACTTTCTTTTACCTAAGTGCACTTCCTTTCAAACTCAGCAGTCTTAATAAAAGTACATGCACCACATTTTATCTGAGATAACGGAGCAGTGACTATTTTGTCTCCAGGGATCGTTAATGAAGTTTCTGCAAAAGAAACAAGTTCAGCATGTACTCTCTCTGAACTTTAGAGGATTAAATTTGATGGCCAAAAATACTGTCTTCTCATTGCTAATCTTTAAAAATAAAGCTAAAATAAGTGGTCTAGATTTACAAATGCTTAATACAGTAATTTATGTTACAATATTTAAAGATTTTAAGAGGGTACTGCATTTTTACAGTTAGCTAATTTTGAAGAAATCAGTAAGAAAATAAAACACTTGTGGCCATCCTGTTCTTTAATACCTTGCACTCCTTATGATTGTTTCATTTATTTTATGTTCCCTCTTTAGATCATTAAATATCAGTTCTGTTTGTCTGAAGGTAAGACAAAGTGTCAACCAAAACACCCTCTGTTCTTCCATTTCCGTTCCTAAAAATTAGCAAACCACATTCAGCTTGTAACTTATACCATAAGCAAACTTAACATTGTCCTGGTTCATACTAAATATTTCAGAAATTGTCACTAAATTCTTTCCAGAGTTATACTTACTAACCCAGGTCTGCATGAAACACTAACACTGGTATTGGGATAAAAACAAATAAACTAATAATAGAACCCTTTGTTGAAGTTAGTTACACCTTGTATTGACCTTTTTGTATCTGAACATGAAAAAGTAATACTACTGAACTGAAGGGATGTGTCTTTGTATTTTGTAATGTGTTGCATTCATCAAATGGTTATTTTGTTGTGTGCTTTGCACTTTACTTGTTGTTATGTGCCATGGAGTTGGTTCCGACTCATATCGACCCTGTGCAGGGTTTCCGAGGCTGTAGATCTTTACAGGAGCAGAAAGCCTCATCTTTCTCCCCTGGAACAGCTGGTAGTTTTGAACTGCTGACCTTGAGGTTGGCAGCCCAACTTGTAACCACTGGGCACCTGAAATGCAAAGATGACTATTTATTGTGGTACTCAAAGGAAGTAGGAAAAGAGAATATACTTCAAGTTTATCATTATGAACTTTCAAATTCTATTTAAGTAAGTTTTCTCTGTATTAAGTAAGTTTATTTGAAGAAAATTAATTCCTGTACTTCTCAACTGAGGTTTAGTCAATGAAATTAAACCTCCATTCCTATCATTATTTAATTGGCCATTTAAAAAATAATTCTATTAAAAAAAATCTTAGAGCCTTTTCAGTTAGTATACAAGACTTAGCAGAAAGAAAATTATATTTTTTCATTCTATTAGGTTGAAACTCTTAAAAAGATAAAAAGTCTATAAAATTCACTTTAATGGATTGACACTATGTAAGAATGATGCTAAAAAAATGGATATTGAAAGCAAATTAATAAGCAACTACATAAAAACTAGTTGGATATACCTTGTAGTTTTATTGGTTAGTAAAACAATATCTGATAAAGGATCAGACTATACTTTTTTAAAATGTATGTGTATCATATAGTTGAGCAATAAAGATCACAATTGAAGAATAAGACCACATGTAGACTTTTCCTTTTAAATTTATAAAGGCTGTCAATTTCCATGTTGCAGGTATTTACCACGTGGAGTCCTTCATACTCTTCTTAATGTTTTCCATATAGTACTGCACACACTTAGTCAGATATATAATTTAGGAAAACTAATACATTATCACTTTCTAAATATTAAGTAAAGGAAGCGATCAAGTCAAGATTCTTGTTGGCTTCATTTTTTAACATATCTTACTATTTTATTATATAAGTTGTCTAGCATAAAGCTTCATGATCCTTTAAATAGTAATAGAAATGTGAATGTGAACATAAACTTTATTCTGTGCTATTTATTCTTTTTAGCTAGTTTTTAAAAATCATCTTTGCATATGGTAACTATTAGAGACATGCACTCTAGTTTTTAAAGTAGTGTTTTTACCTGTAGCTAATATTTGTATTGAATACAGTCTTACATTTTTTGGGGGATAGACTTTAACAGATATTATAAAATATATAAATTTTTTAGTATTTCTCAATTTGACATGATAAGAAATGAAATATTTACTCTTCCTATCTACCAAAACATTATGGTATCTGAAGAATGATTGTTTATTATTTTTTTCTTTCAATCATCATCTCTTGACTTTCCTGTGTTAAACATTCTATATATACAGAGTTTTCTTTTTAGTTGTAAGTCAAAGTAGGAGAAAGAAGACATGAAATAAACTTAGCATAGTGATATCAGCCTGACTTCCATTTTTCAGAAGTGACATAACAATGTGATGCTTTTTGGATTCAGATTTAATTTTTTAATATCATGATAAAAATTTGTTCACCACAAAAAAGGGATTTTAAATTGCACTTGAGACTCAACTTTAGAGACCCCACATATACACTGTATATATAAAATAATGCTGATAATCATGTAACAATTTTAAATTAAATGTTAAAGAAATACCAGTACAGTGATTATTTTGTATCTAACCAACCCTATGACACAATTCTATCAGTGGAATGGTACAGGCTTGCTTCAGAGATACTGTGGGTTCAGTTTCAGACCACTGCAGTAAAGTGAATATCACAATAAAAGAGTAACTCAAATGTTTTCGTTTCCCCATGCATATAAAAGTTATATTTACACTATAATGTAATCTATTAAAAGTGTGATGTAGCACTTGAAAAAGTTTGAAATATTGTGAGAATTACCAAAATGAAACACAGAGACATGAAATGAGCACATGCTATTGGAAACATGGCACCAACAGCCTTGCTCAATGCAGGGTTGCCACAAACCCTTAATTTGTTTAAAAAAAGAAAGAAATGCAGTATCTGTGAAGCACAACAAAGAGAAACACAATAAACAGGTGTGTGTGTGTGTGTGTGAGAAAATACTTTTTTTTTTTTTTTAAGTTTACTTAGCTTGGTTCAAAATTGTCTAAAGCTCACTTCCTAGTAAGCAATCATGTATGGAGTATGATGACATTTAAATCCAAAAAGAATTCTTCTGTGTAACTTCTCATACTGTATAAATAGATGTAAATAACATTTGGTGTCCCGTATTTGATCTGTTAGTTCCTTAACTTTATTTTCTCAAAGTAGACACTGTCTGTGACAGTAAACTGATACTTAAGGGAAATTGTTTTAATCCCTAAGGTCATTGCGGGAGATATTGTGATGTCACACTTTGTTAATCTTCTATAACTACATTAAAATATTATTAGATTTTTCTTGTCCTTTATTTAAAAGAAAAATACAGGGAAAAGATCCCTTTATCTTTGTTAGACATGTATGTGGAAAATATCAAAAGTTTTACAGTGAAGTTTTTAGAAAAAACTTTTGTATTTAACAACACTTCTCTGAACTTTTAAATGAAATTACTCTTCTTGGCTAGATTATATTGGCAATTCAAAAATATACATATTTTCCCTAATACATTGTCTTTTTTGGCATAAAAAAGGTATTTTTTAAATAAAAGAAGTTCTAGTTTGCTGAAAGTGTACACACAACAAAAAAGAAAAGAAAGAAAGCCCACTGTCATGGAGTTAACCCTGACTCAGTGATTCTCTAGGACAGAGTGGAAGTGCATCATAGGGCTTCCGAGGCTCTAAGTCTTTATAGAAGCAAATTGCCTCATCTTTCGTCAGTTGGCAGCTAGTGGGTTTCCCACCATGGACCTTTCAGTTAGCAGCTCAGTGCTTATCCCACACTGCAACACTATGACTACTTGGAAAGGTACAGTAAATATTAATTGGTTTATCTTTTTCTAGTTCAACATTAAAATGCACCCACATTTTTTCCAGTATTATGTCTTTTACGAATCATCAACTACAAATATTCTTTGAATATCTATTGCGTGGTATACCTAGAATTACCTCTAATACTCTGTTATTCTAATTGGACTAACTAGTAGATACCTACCTTTGGGTTGATTGTTTTTCTACATATCAAGTTCGAGATCTTAGTACTTTAGAATTTAAATTAAATAGTTGGTATTTGTGTGTATGTATGCATACATACCACTTTAAAATGTATTGGCTCCTATTTAAAGGAATATTAAAATAATTAGTAATAAGATTCAAATATAATTTTATGTCATCAAAATCAGATAATCTTAATAGTGTGATTATGAGAACTTAGGGTAGTGACATTTAGCTCATTGTCCTTATCTTAAAGTTATTTTAAACTTGCCCCCAAACTTTCAGATGTTCTGAGAGAAAATATTTTAGCCCCTCAGAAGGAAGTTATTTTGTAAATATCCTAAATTCTGTTTGTAAGTATCAATAGGAAAATCTGTTTCCTTCAGCACGTAAGTTATAAACTGATTTATTTAATGTATTTTAAAAGACTCTTATTCTTAGTTTCTCATCACTAGATTAGCCTGAAATTATAAGCAGTCAATGTATTGTTTTCAGTACTTTGGACTTAGAAATTTGGCCAAGAGACAAACAACATCAGCCTTAAATCAAGTTCATTAACCTTTTATGACAATAATTACTAGATTTAGTTTCCATATAGAACATTCAGAGGTGAAATTTTTGTAATGAAACAAGAAAACAACAGTTGAGGAATTACTGAGTGCCAGGTACTTTGCTAGGTACTATACATATATTCTCTTACCTCATCTGTATGTTAGTTATACTGTTGTTAAGTGCCATCGTGTCAATTCCCGCTCATAATGACCCTGTATAGGGTTTCCAAAGAGCAGCTTACTGGGTTTGAACCGGCAACCTTGTGGCCTTGTGGTTAGCAGTCTAGTGCTTATCCAACAGCACCACACCAGGACTCTGTTAGTTATGATGTTGTTAAGTGCCATTGAGTTGGTTCTGACATAAGAGAAGGAAAAGAAAGCATATTCAGAGTTACTTCATACTAGGTAAAACCAGTATTCCAAGCAATCTGTCACATCAGAGTCCATAGTCTTAACTATTACAATTATTCATTTACTTTAAATATTTTCAGTCCCCTTTTGCTTTTGAGAGAAAGATAAATCGTTTCCCAATAACCTGTCATATTTACAGTTAAAAAAAAAAATTTTTTTTTAGGGAGTTGCTTTTCTGACCCATTGAAGTACAAGTTTTTTAATCAAAGTGATTTGAATTAAATTCTAGTTTTCCCATTCATCATCTACATGCTATTGTTGTTGTTGTTGTTGCTGTTGCTGATGTTTGGTGCCATCAAGTTGGTTCTGACTCATAGCAACCCTGTATAGGGTTTCTGAAGAGTGCTGTTGGATTTGAACTGCTAACCTTGCAGTTCAAACTAATCTTGCAGTCCAGTGCTTATCCTACAGCACCACACCAGGATTCTATTACAGGCATGAACTCAGATAAATCAGCCTACCTTACACAGTTTTCTCATTTGTAAGGAGATACCATATGTCCAGCTTAGTCTTATTCTAAGTCTACAGTGATTATCATTCTAAAAGATTTTAAGATTAAACCACTTGTGTGCCTGTATCTCTAAACTATTTTATTTTAAATTATGTGGTTTTACTTCCTTTATGTCATTTACTGATAGATTCATGCTAATCCTAACCACTTATCAATTCTTTTAAAGATATTAAAGCAGTAAGGTTATTTGGATAATTTGTAACCTTTCACATAAGGTTATATATATTTTTAGGAATATCAGCATAAGAGAGGATAAATTCTTGAATTTCCCCAAAACTAAACTAAACCATATTCTGTATTCTTCACATTTGAAAGATTATATTTTGTGGAGCTCATTTACTTCAAAAGTATTTCTAATTTCTTCTTTTTGAATCTTAATCTGTTCTGAATCAAAGTTTGTAACTTTACTCATCTCTTATATTGCTATCCTTTTTGGCACCTAGTAGCGTAGTGGTTACGAATTGGGCTGCGAACCTTAAGGTCAGCGGTTCTAAACTACCAGCTGCTCCACGGGAGAAAGATGAGGCTTTCTACTCCCGTAAAGATTTACACCCTCGGAAACCCTGTACAGGGTCGCTATGGGTCGGAACCGATTCGATGGCACTTAACAACAACAACAACAATATGTGCCAAGGCCTTTGCATATGTAATCATTAATCTCCACAACAATCTTGGAGAATGACTAATGTTGTCTGTATTTCATAGATTAGAAAACTGTCAGTTTAACCAAGATAAAACAGCTAGTAAACTGAGACTTGGCATTTAACCTAAACCTGTCTAACCCATGCCTGTATATCATATTTCCTCTTAGTTCAGTATTAATTGAAATTGCTTTCATAGCCACAATATTTTTTAAAGCTATAATAGAGTATATTTTATTACTTTAAAAGTTAAACTGGCCATATCTGTCAGTAAACAGTTCAAACAAAACCAGAATAACTAATAATATGTTGCATTTCCCTATATATAGTCTGTATAAATCCTAAAGTTATATTTATCATTATTTTAAAAGTTTATTGAAAACAATGTAATATGTTAATCAATATATTATACTATCAAGATGCCCTTAGTTCTTTTTAAACTATATCCTTAAAGATATACTGATAATAGAAATAATTAGATAAATCAGCATTTTTTTAAATTCACATAGTATAAATCAATATTTAGGCAGAATTGGTTGTGGAATAAAGTTAGTTATTACTCTAGCATTTTTGTCTAAAACTGAGATCTAGCCACTATAAATTATAGAGTCCAAAGCATTGTGCTGCAAACTGCAAGGTCAACAGTTCAAACCCACCAGCTGCTCCTCGGAAACCCTATACATGGTCACTATGAGTTGGAACGAACTTGACACTGGTTAACAACAGATATCATTTGCTAAAATGTGAGGTGGTACTAATGGTTTTATACCACATATAGTAAAGAACTTGATTTGACTCTCAGTTGACTGAACAAAGATTTCAGTTCGAAGGCAATAAGGGAGATATAGGGAAATTGCTGTTTTTGAGGAAAATATTCTTTAGGTTTAGCATACACTAAAGCAGTATTCTCCAATAAGATGTTCCATGGTGAAGGCAATATTCTATGTCTACATAGTACAATATGTTATCCGCAAACCATATTCTGCTATTGAACACTTGAAATGTGGACAGTGCACGGAGAAACTGAATTTTTTTTCATTTAATTTTAATTAGTATAAATAACCATATGTGGTTATAAATGTACAATGTTGGGCAATACAACCCTAGAGGCTTACACTTGAGTGGTTAGAATAACATGCCGGTAATACAGTGAACACTTTGAAAGATAGGTGTTTATAGAATCTCTCATAGACTTTTTTTTTTTTTTTTCTTTTCTTTTTCTGATTTTCTTTTCTCCTGTAAAACTATTAGTTGGTAAGTATAACGTTATGAATTTACAAAGCATTGCCCATTGTGGAACATCTTCACCCTAACACATTGCATGCCCAATTATATTTTATAATAAAAACCTGGTTACTCTCTTCTCTGCTTGGTTAACACCTGTAAAATTCTGCACTGTGTCTCTCAGATCTGTTATCTGTCTTCTCTTTTGTTTTCTCACTTCTGCTCGCTACTCCATTTCTTCATTCCCAACAAAGAAAGAAATGCAGTGATAGTTCTCTTCCTCCCAAAACCTCCGCTAGAAAACATTGGCCATCTCAAGGTAAACAGCCATGGGAAGGCCTGTCATGATGGCCGGGAATAGTATGCATTACTAGAAAAGCATGAGCTAGTGCTCTTCCTCTTCCTTCCTTCTGCCGTCTACCTGCAGTGCTTCCTTCATGAGGGTCATGGACTCATGTTCTCCTTTAGGCTTCCCAGTATGGGGCTGAACCAATTCAGATCTTCTGGAAGAAAGTAAAGATGAACAGAAAGAGATTTCCTCATTGTTTTATAAAGGCCAACTTCATTAAATTACAGGAGAAAGAATGTTGCAGAAGCTAGTGCAATTGACCTGGATTTTGAGTGACAAAATATTTCATTCTTGGCAATGTATCCATTATCTTTTTATTCTATTTTTCCATGAACTTTTTTAAAGCTTCCGTGTATTTGTTCTTAAATATAACGTTTGACCTTAAAATACATTAAAATATCCTACAGAGATACATTCTTACTTACTCAAGATATCTTAATAGATGATGTACCCTTGTGACCATTTTGGTTTTTTTCTTCTAAGTATTCATTGCTTCAGTTTAAACATAGCGTTTCATTACATGTAAGCATATTTCATTTTATGTTAGCATATTTATTTCCAAGCTTGAAGTATCAGTGAAGTCAAAAATCTCACTATGGAGATAGAAGATGTGTAAGTTAAACTTGCAACCTGTGGTGAGTTTTTTAACACACATCAAGAAAATGTCCTTAAGACCCAGAAAATCTGGATAAAAGTGCCTTAAAATATACAAAATTTTGTATTGTTGTTGTTACTCTGGTATGTATGCAGGTTTTCTTTTTTAAGGTAATTTGTTTATTCATTCATTCAAAAAATATTTCCAAACCCTAAAATATGCACATTATTATTATTGCTGTGTGTCATTGTTGTTGTTGTTAAGTGCCTTGGAGTCGATTCTGACTCATAGCAGCCCTATGAGGTTTCTAAGGAGCAGCTGGTGATTTTGAACCGCCAACCTTGCGATTCAAACCAACCTTATGGCCCATTGTTTATCCTATAGTACCACACTATATATTAGAGAGTCATAATTCATAGAAATAAAGTATAGAGATAATGACCTACTTTTTATATGACACAAAGAATTTACCTATTTGAACTTACTTTGCTCTTTAAAATTAAAAAAAAAAAAAAATTGTATATACTAATTTTGCTGGTTACCTTCTTTATTAGTATACCTTCCAAATAGTGTATCTGGGAAATTTTAAGTCAGTTAAAGTGTTTTCTGGGGTCAGTTCATCTTTTTTTATTGACTTTCAGATGAGAATTCTTGCCCACTTCCCTCCCTCTCCACCCCACATCACACCAAAAATTTATCTTGCCTCTTCTTGAAAGCATAAATACTAGCATGTATAATGTTATTTAAGTATTAAGTTGTTCTTTTCTCTTTTTTTTTAGAGGTTGTTATTATTCTCAAGCTTAAGCAGTGATGGCCCTGAACCCTAGAAATAGGGATTGGTCTTTCTTACTTGCTTCTTGAACTCCCCTGCATGCTTTGGAAACCTATCCTTTGTGGCCCAAAGATCTTGTTTCCCATTGCTTTTTCCAGGGAGCTTTCTGATTGATTCTGGCTCTGGAGATGATTGCCACTTTCTTGCTAATATGATGCCATGGGCCATCAGATCATTGTGTTTCAAATATATTAGTAGACTGTTGTAACAAGCAAGTTTTGAACTTCTATTTTTAAAGACCCCATTAAGGATTGGCATTCATGCTCAGACCAATAGCAGAAAGCTTATTTCTTACAAGATGAGAGTTTTAGATAAATGGTACTGATGCTTTTGCTTTCCCACAGGCACCTACTCAGAGATTCTACCCAGTGAAACTCCAACAGCAGCGCAGGTAGATGGGGCTGATCTGGCCTCTCCAATGTCCCCTCGAACTAGCAAGAGCCGCATGTCCATGAAGCTGCGTCGTTCCTCAGGCTCAGCCAATAAATCCTAAGGAGACAAGCAAAGCAGCCTTGCAGTGATCAGCAGTAGCCACCTTAGCTTGAAGTTAGTGTTAACTCTGTTAGGCCTTCATATCTGCTATAACATGCATGTACCTTCCTGTACATTTATTTTAGAAAACACTGGATTTAAGTAATTTCTAACTTAACATTTTAGATTTGGGTTGTTTATTCAGTTGGGTTTTTTTTTCTTCCCCACAGTCCAATCTGCCATATTTTTTGTGGGAGTGTAGAATATTATTCTACACCCTTTATTTTCCTGGATAATTATGTCTAAATAGTTTCACTTTTAATTTCATGATTAACTTTGAGCCAAAATATAAATTGGACAAATAGTCTCATTATTTTATTTATTGTGTCCCATTGCAGTTTTATTGCTCAATATATAATTTTTTTTTACAAATGTAAAATTTTAAATTTAGGCATTTGTAAAGTTATAGTAAAACATCAGAACTGTTAATATACAGGATGTGTACAGATTATTTATGTTATGAAAATAAAACACTTAAAAGGTCTTTTAGCATCTCAAATTCCAACTAAAGTAATTTTAGCATTAACTTTTCCCCCCAAAAGCAGTGTCTCAGTTCTTGACTGTGCAGCTGATGCCATGATACTCAGAAAAATCACTGTGCTGAACTTTGATGTATATTTAGCATCCAGTTTTTCTGATGTTTTGGTTTTGAAGTGGTATCCCTGTAAAATGCCATTTCTTTGAGATTGTGGCCCTTTTATTATCAGCTATTAAATCCTGGTGTATCTATGTACTTGTTTAAATACCAAAAGGAGGGGAGAAAAATAAAAGATTCTGCTGATATAAATCTGTTGCTCAAATAATGTGTATTACTAAGTAAAATCTAATATTGTTAATACTGAACTTAACAAGTGCAGGTCAGTATACATTCCACCCTCCAGAAGTATTTTCCTACATTAGATAAGTTGCTCACAGTTTGTTTTAAATGGTCATCTCCTGAGGGAATGTAGCATGACATAGGTACTAATTGCATGTGTAAATATATCAAACTGCTGGCAAATGATAAAGTATAAATTATGTATCATCATTCATATAGTATCCACAAATTTGTAACAATGGGAAGAAGATGATATGGTATTTAATAATACAATAAAAATATTCTTATCACTTCCTGTCCATTAGTATTGATTCTTCTACATTCCATATATTTTCAGACTTAAAACATGACTGTATGATTAATGGAGAGATAAAAATAGTTTATTTTAGTCAATCATTAAAAAAAAAAGAATTTGAATTCCTTTCTCATGATAGACTCCGACTTAAATTTCTCAGAGATCTTACCACAGACATTAAAAAAACAAGAATTGTTCACCTTTATGAAGGTTACTCAGAAACCTCACTCAGTGCACTGGGTTAAATCACTAGTTTACCCAACTCTCTTGTTTTGTTTTTTAATTTATTTATTTTATACTGTGTTTTCAAGAACAAAACTTTCTACAGACAAGTCTTTCAGAGTTCCTGTGCATTCGCTTTTTTGTTTTATTTTCTTAAACTATTTCTTATCTATTGGAAGCTTATGTACAAGATAAATACAGTTCCTAGAAGCAAGATTTTACAATATAGACAGTTTGCCACAGTCAAGGTGAATAATTTTAAAGGAGGAAAACTTAACCACTTACACGTTTTTAAAATGCATTTTTTAATTTTAGTAGGCAATTAAATGAATGATTTGATGATATGCAATAAGAATGAAAACAGCAATTTGAAATAGCTAAATTAGCATAGTTAACTTTTTTTCATTATCAGATAACACTTCAGTAGCTTCTAAGATGTTTGTGGGTTTTTAAAAAGAAATATTTGAAATTACTTTCTGTTAAGACATTTGTCTGAGAACAGGTGCCTTTTTAGATTTGAAGAACAGTACATGTCCTTTGAAGTTCAGTCTATGCAACCATAGTTAAAAGGAAAATTTCCCATTTTTGTATCATTAAATTAATTCACAAAGTATTTCTTTCTTATTATTCCAAGTGGGTCAGTAGGATTCTATAGTAAAATATTGCCATTGGGGAGATGAGAAATGTGGCTTTGAAAGTAGGTTGTGTTCAATAAGATTATTAAAATAAACACAGAACACAACAAAGCACATGCTACGTACATTTATTTTGGTGGTAAGCATTTTACAAATATGAGCTGTCAAGCAATGCTTAGCCAGTGTACCAAATTCTGGCTATTTAGGACATGGGTACAGAACGTATACTGAATGTAATTTACAAAAAGCAATTCAAAAACAACTTGCTGATGAAAAACTTAAATTTTGAATGGGCTGCAATTAAGTTACATAGTGGATTATAGGTATTAACATCTTTAACCTGAACACAGTTTCATATATAGTACACAGTATGAGATTTACAACAGAAGCATTAAATAAACAGTTAGGGTAAAATCTTAAGAGTCAAACTTGAGGAAATGAGATCTGTGTTTTCCAAAGGCTAAAAAAAGGTTTAAAGTAGTTCTTCCTGAATGTTGCAATACTGCATATAAAGTAACAAAAGATAAGAATTTCGGAGGTTTCTCATTTTTAACTCCTTCCATTAAAGTAGCATTCTCTCCACCTCCACACACTAAGAATGAAGTAATACATATAATTGGGGGACAGAGGTTACAGGGAAGATCCCATATAACACCCCCCAAGCAGCAAACGTCTCGTTTTCTAACAGACACAGGTCTTGAATCTTATTTTTCTCTTGTAAATTTGGCACCAATCACATAACTTTTAATTCACAGAATGTACAAGCAAAATAATCTGACCCTATCGAGACAGAAACTACACAGGCGCCTGCTGTGGCAAGAGAAACAAACATTGGTGACTACCACTTTTGGTAGCTAGAATCCTTTGTAGACATGGAGACATGCACGCATTCACTGCGACTTTCCATAGGAATTACAAGTCATAGGATTCTGTTGGCTTTCCATTCATTGTTTGTGGGTAAAATCCTATTTAAGTGAGCAAGTGAAAAGGATTTAAAGCTGGCCATCATTAAAGGGGGAATATTGACACGTTGTACATACCTGCTCTAGAGAAGGATTTTACACTTTGATCTCCGCACCCCTGGCGGAGCATTGACTACTGGGAGAGTTTTAGGGGAGAGAAGACACAGTAAAGGAAAAGAGACGGTAAACTTGCAAGTTGAAGTAAGCCCCACGGAAGCTCCCGCGATCTGTTGTCTCTAAGGCCAACTTCGCAATCTTAGTCTTGAGTCCTTCAACCCTCAGCAGCCAGGCCGCAGTGGCATCTGCAGCAGCAGTACCTGCCGACTTTCTGAGGGATGGCACTTATTGATGTGCCGGGTCAGCCCAGGGGAACTAAAAAAGGTGGACGGGCAGTGCTTGCAAGAGAAAATTTGCTGAGCACCCCCGTCAGAAGTCCCGCCTGCACTTGGCGCCTCGGGGGACACCGCAGCCAGAGCGGGCAGGAGCAGCTCCTCGCGGACGGCGTGCCACAGCCGGTGCTTGTCCCTAATGTCTGCGGATGGGAAATGCGCTCCACACAGCGGGCAAGGGAAGGCAAGTGCAGCGCTGCGTTCCGACCCAAAGCCCGGGGCCAGCGCGCGGGCAGAGCCCGGCTCGTGAGTGCCCAGGTGCTTCCGCAGATAGGCTTGGCGACGGAACTTTTTGTGGCAGTACGGACACACGAAGATCTCGGGTCCCCCGACACCGCTGGCACTGCCCGGTCCAGGCATGCGGCGGCCCAACACCCCTTCCGTAAAGGAGACCTGTGGCAGCAGTGGCTCGGGATGCGGCAGCACCTGGAGGCTGGGGCGCGGGGCGCTGTCCTGGTGCTGAACTGGCCCGGAGCTGTCCCTGGCCGGGTGGTGCTGATCCGCAGTCCGCTCGGTCCGGCTGTTCTCCTTTCCCTCTGCCAGGAAAGATGCCATGGCCCCGGAGTCCGAGGAGGACGAGGACAACGAAGTAGGCGGCTTCCCGTCGGCGGAAGAGGCTGTGGCGGTGTTTACCGCTACGGGACGTGGCTTGTGCCAGCGACGATGGGAGGCGAGGTTCGCCGGGCAGCTGAAGACCTTATCGCATTCGGGGCAGCGGTACTCGACGCGCACGATGCGGGAGCAGCGGTGCTGTGCCAGCGCGAAGGGGTCCGCGTACTGCTCCTTGCACAGCTGGCAGATGAACTCCCCCAGTGGTGTGCGGCTGCTCCCCAGGCCCCGGGAAGGCGCTCCGGGCTCCTCCTCCTTGATCTTCAGACCTAGGACAGGGGATGTGGTCACCTCGTCCGCGAAGCTCAACTTCCTCATCGCCTTGGGTTTCTTGACTCCAGCGGCTGCGAGTCCCGACGGGCAGCCTGGAGGTAACTTGGCGCGGCGCTCGGTGCCGGCTGCCCGTTTGAGGCCATGCAGGGTGGCCGAGAGGGGCGCGGGGTCCGGCTGGAGCGCGGGCTCTGGGAACGGTGCCCGGAACGGCAGCAGGAACTGCTCCCCCGAGGTAGGGGCGGCTGCTGGCGCTACAGAGCAGGAAAAAGCAGCCACTGCGGCCGCGCCCCCGGGGAAGGACTCTGCGGAGACTGGTGAGCTGAGGCAACGCTCCAGAAACGCCCGGCGCAGCTCTGCGCCCGCCGGCTTCGTGGGACTGGGGCTGGGCCCGGGACCCTCGCTGTCATCTGTCCCCCACTCCGCGCCTTCCCGCCCGCGCGATCCCAGGCTCACCCCAGCAGCCCGACAGGGTGACCCCGGCAGTTCTCGGGCCACCTCTGCCTCCAGCCCCTTTCCTGGCTCCTCCTGGGCAGGGGACGCCCCCATCTCCGCACCAGGTAGAGAGACACTGGGGGTCTCCTCAGGAAAGGGCGGCGCCCCCGAGGGCCCCATCAGAGGGAAGACTCGCTGGGCTAAGCGTACTCGGTACGAGCCGCCTGTCCGTTTAGTTCGCTTCACCAGGAAGCCCCTGGGCATGGTGGAGTCGGGACCAATGAGGGGCCCAGAGGAATAGAGGTGCCACTAGGACTAAGGGCCGGCAAGCGCTGTAGCTGCACGAGCGTCGCCACGGCCGTCATGCCCCTGCAGCCTTTATAACTGAGACGCGGGCCGGGGCTGACCAGACCGCCTCCTGTTCGGGCTGACCAATCAGGAGTGGGAGCGGGCGTCGGGGCGGGGCTTCCGTTTGTCTGAGCTCGCCAGAGAAGACCCAGCGGGCTGCCTCGAGCGCCCCTACCCCGCTGCGTGGCCGACTGAGGGGCGCGCCGGGCCGCTTCCCCCAGCCACCCACGGTGCGAAGACGCGAGAAGGTAAGGTTCAAAGTGTGAGGAAGCTCGGCATTCGGTCTCAGACGCCTCCAGATACTGTCTGACTGGGAAGGCGGGCAAAGCAGCCACCTCAAGGCGCCCTCTGCGTGAGCGGAAACCCACTTGTCCCTGAGAGTGTGAGTCTGACAGAAAAGCCCCCCGCCCGCCGGGCCGTAGGACGACCGAGCGGGGAGGGCAGCGGAGGCCAGGTGCTCAGTGAGACGACGGGGTGGGTGTCAGCTCGGGAACGGGTATTGAGCTGATGAGAAGCTGCGACCCAGAGGCAGGGAGGCTAATTCCACCGCCCTATGCTTGCACTTGACGGTGGGAGCACGTCTGCCATCCAGTATCGATCAAGACTGCGAGTGTCTGTGATACTATGAGAATTCATCTGGAAGAAGGGCTCTCAGTGCGGGAGAGCGTGCGTGCTGGCAAGCCTCGGCAGCTCAGGGCGCCGGCACGCTTCTGGGGCCCGGGTCCTGAGGCTTATAAAGGGCTCCCTCCCTGATGGGAATAGGAATAGGAAGGGGAAAGCAGCATCTAATTTTCTTCTCCCCTCCGATGAAGTGGCTTCTCTGTTCACCTTTTCCTATGCCACCCAGAGGCATGGCTTAGTGCCTAACTGGCCTGTAGAGCCTGCAGATGGAATGAGAAATACGGTAGAGTCAGCATTACATCTGCTGCCCCTCACACCACAAACTTGGCCAAAGCACTCAGCAAATCTTCGTCAAGCACCCTGAAATACGCCCAGCACTGTTTCAACACTACAGGAGATTTCCAAGTTTGTAATACGGGATCCTCCATGAAAGTAACTAGACAACATATGACATAATTTTAATAAACTGTCAAGAACCACAATATAGATCAGGACAGTGGGAGATCAGACAGGGGAAAGAACTGTATGTTCAATTCTCTTTACTAACCGAAGGTGGAAAAAAGACTGGGAAGTTGTCGTTGAAGTTATGTTGCCATCGAGTTGGTTCCTTCTCATAGAAAAACGGATCTTGTCATCCTTTCCTTCCCCTCCCCGCCCCCCAAATTCTTCATCCTAATGCATTTACATGGTGAGGATTACTTTTGGAAAATTTTGGAATTATATGTTCACTGAGTCAAAATCGACTCCACAGCAGTAACAACAATAAACATTGACTGTGTTTTAAGCACGTTACTTTATTCATTGCTAAGGAGCTCTGGTGGCGTAGTGGTTATGAATCGGGCTGCTAACCTCAAGGTCGGCAGTTCGAAACTACCAGCCGTTCCACAGGAGAAAAGATGAGGCTTTCCACTCCCTTAAAGATTTACAGCCTCGGAAACCCTATGCAGGGTCACTATGAGTCGGAACCGATTCCACAGTACCTAACAACAACAATCTCATAGGAAAGAGCCCTGATAGAGTAGTGGGTTACATGTTGCTAATTGCAAAGTCAGCAGTTCCAAACTATTAGCCGCTTCGAAGCAGAAAGATGAGACTTTCTGCTCTTTTAAAGATTTACAGTTTCAGAAACCCTACACAGGGTTGCTATGAGTCAGAAGCAGCTCGAAGGTATTTAACAAAACTATCTTAATACGCACAAGAGAATAGATATTATTACTTCCTCTTTTAGATAAAGGAATTGAGCATAGAGATGTTAGATAATGACAAAGCAACCAGGATCCAGATTCAAAGGTATGGCTAATTATAAAGCCCAGACTCTTTCCACTACACCAGTGGCCTCAAACTTTTTTTTTTTTTTTTCTAATCACAACCAATAATAAGAAATACATTTTATAATGCACATACACACAGAGGTAACTGAAACAAAATTTCACAAGTAATGCTTTCCCTTCACTAGGTACTATGTATTCTAGTATTTTCTATGCAATTTTAGTATATTTCACTTTTTAAAATACTGGTCATAACAGATTATTTCATAATTTGCTAATGAATTAGGGCCCACAGGTTGAAAATATAATTTCCCATTGAATTTCATGAGGTCATATCAAATTAAATCAAGTACATAAATGTGATGCTTTATCATCAAAATTAATCATTCTGAATCACTCCTTCAAATATGAATGAATTCAATAGTGTTGGTAAAGTTTCCCAGACTGACTTATCAGTTTGTGCAGGATTTCTAAATCTTCTCAATTCTTCTCTTTAGTCTTTTTTTAAAAAAATTTTTTTCTCAAAAATTCCTACAATCAGCGTATAATACTCAAATAATCAGAGAAAACATATAGTGTAAAAGCCGCTTTAAATCACTTTTGGTGTTAACTGTGGTAACCTTCCCATGTTGCTGTTGTTAAGTGCCATCAAGTCAGTTCTGACCCATAGCGACCCTGTATAGGGTTCCCAAGGGACAGCGGGTGAGCTTGAACCACCAACCTTGAGGTTCAAACAGCTTTGCAGTCTGACACATTAATCCACAGCACCACCGCGCCAGGCACTATTGTTAGGACATGTAGGAAGCTTACTGTCGTGTCCATTACCCATTTCTTTTAAGTGTACCTATTTCTTTTACTAAGGAGCTCTGATAGCGTAGTGGTTATGAATTGGGCTGCGAACTTCAAAGTCAGCAGTTCGAAACTACCAACTGTTCCGCGAGAGAAAGATGAGGCTTTCTGCTCCCATAAAGATTTACAGCCTCAGAAACCCTGTACAGGGTCGCTGTGAGTTGGAACCGACTCCACGACACATAACCACCACCACCATTTCTTTTACAGCATACCATGATGGCAGGTGTTACTAAAGGAGAAACGATAGTACAAGCTTAGGTGGAAATTACAAGTTAAAGTGGATTTCTTTAGGGCCACCTGTTTGAAATATAGCCTTAGAGAAGAGATTACAAGTCTTCTAGTGGAAGAACACTTTGGGGAAGAGTCTAGGGGTCCAAAGGTAGAATGGAGGAGCAGAGAAATAATTTAGATGCATAATCACTATTTATGTAAAAACTTAGATGGCCCAAGGTATGAACACTTCAGCATCCATTTAACTACTTAAAAATTAACATAAATTGGCAGTCCCAAGCAAAATGGTAAAGTATTTTACTTTCCTCTCCATATCCTTTCTCTTGAAAATGTTATAATTTTTTTTTTCCTTTTTTAAACACTCAGTATTTTCATCTGCCCTGAGGTATACTTTGATAAAAACACATGCACACTGAATACTTCTCATGCTTTTTGTATCTTAAACCTTCTATCTATAATTGTACTATCTCTAATTGTAGAATAAATTACCCTGACTGAAATTCAACATTTTAAACATATTTTCTAACTTTTTGTTGTGAATTAAGTGAAGATTTGTGAAGATCTTCAGTTTTACTTTCAACAAATCATACAGTTTGTTTCACTTGGATTGCAATCCCATGTAATAACAATTATCACACGTTCTCCCTGTGGTTCTTATTCCCATTCCACCCTCCTTCGTATCCCTTCTCAACTTTGTCCTTATGTAAATGTTGCCCTTTTGATCTTGAATGATTGACCATTCCGTGATGAGCAAACCTTACTAGTGTTGTTATCCACCTATATACCCTATCTACTGCTTAGCTGAAAGTTGGGTCTGAAATACTTAGCTGAAAATGATGGTGAGTTCTGTTGCAGACCTGAAGGAGGGATGAGGTCCATAATTTCTGGTTGCTCCAGTCTTTTTCTGACCAATAAGCTCAGTCTTTTTTTATAATTTTGTTCTACATTTTCTCCCACTCTCTCTGGTGCCTTCTAATGTAATCCCTTTCAGAGCAAATAGTAGTGGTATCTAGGTTCTGTAGTTTTTCTGCTCTCAGAGTCATGGTGACTGATGTTCACCTTCTCCATTGGTCCATTGGACTAGTTGATTCCAAGCATCACCAGTTTTCATCACTCTTCTTTCTTCACGTGGAAAGATCAATAGTTGCACCTTGCTGTTACTGTTAAGTGCTGTCAAGTCAGTTTTTACTCAGCGACCCTGTATAGAGTTTCTGAGGAGCAGCTGGTTGGGTTTGAACTAGCGACCTCATGGTTAGCAGTCCAGTGCTTATCCTACAACACCATGCTAGGAGTCACATTAGAAGGCACAGGATAGAATGAAAGAAAGTGTCAAGCAAAATTCAAAATTATAAAAAAGACTTACTGTTTAGAAAGAGACTGGAGGCACCTAAGACTGTTCCCCAAACACCCTTCAGGTCTGGAAAGGAGCTCACCCTCATGACCCAGTTTTCAGCCAAGCAGTAGATAGGTTTATAGGCAGAACAACAACACTAGTAAGGTTTGCTCACCATGGAATGGTCAATCATTCAAGATCTAAGGGGTCATTTAAATTGCCCCTTGTTATTGTTATTGTTAAGTGCCATTGTGACGGTTCCAACTCACAGCGATCCTTTATAGGGTTTCCAAGGAGCGACTGGTGAGTTTGAACCACTGACTTTGTGATTCAAACGGACCTTACGGTCCAGTGCTGAACCCCACCATTCCACACCAGAACTCCAAGTTGCACCTTGTTGTTGCTGTTGTGAAGTGCTGTCAAGTCGGTTCCAACCCATAGCAACCCTGTATAGGGTTTCAGTATAGCAGCTGCTGAGCTTGAACCACTGACCTTTCTGTTCAAAGCGACTTTGCAGTTCAGTGCATCACCCCACAGCACCACACCAGGACTCCATTTGCACCTTAGATGGTGGTTTTTAAGATCCCAGTTGTTATTCGCCAAAGGAGGAT